GGCTTCCTACTACAGAAGCATAAGGTATCAATCTCATTCGTTCCTTTTCTACATCTGTTTTTGGGCATTGAAACGAACCAAAAACGTCTCATTTAACCACAGGAGCAATAGAGGGAGAGCATTGTTGCATGTTATAACGTGCAAGAACACGTTCAATATAAGTCTTTTGAGATAGACCTATTGTTCCATTGGCCCGATCTCGATGTATTTCGATGCCAATCACATAAGAGGCTTCCCCGAGATCTTTCATGTCAAAATGGCGCGAAAGTAATCGCTTTGACTCATGCAACAAATCCAGATTGTTACTTGCCAAAAGGATGTCATCAACATAAAGAACAAGTATGGCAAAGTTGCTCCTACTCATTTTAAGGTATGTACATTGATCCACTTGATTTTTAATGAAACCATTCTTCTTCATGACTTCATCAATTTTCAAGTACCACTGTCGTGATGCTTGTTTTAACCCGTATATGGATTTCTTTAGCTTGCATACCAAGTGTTCGCAACCCTTAAGCTTAAAACCTTCGGGTTGCATCATGAACACATCTTCATGCAAGTCACCATTAAGGAAAGTTGTTTTAACGTCCATCTGATGTAGCTCTAAATCAAAATGAGCTACTAGGGCCATGACGATCCTTAGGGAATCCTTTCGTGAAACGGGAGAGAAAGTCTCCTGATAATTGACTCCCTCTTTTTGGGTGTAGCCTTTAGYAACCAAACGTGYTTTATATCGTTCGAYGTTACCGTTTGGGTCTAGTTTGGTTTTAAAGACCCACTTGCATCCTACAGSTTTTATACCCTTAGGAAGTTCAACAAGTTCCCAAACATCATTTTTACTCATGGAATCAAGTTCGTCGATCATAGCTTTATTCCACTGAGAAGATTGGTCGCTATTAATGGCCTCGTTATAAGAGATTGGATCGTTGCATTTTCCAATGTCCAAATCAGTTTCATTAAGGTAAGTTACATAATCAACAAAATTAGTAGGTCTTCTAGGCCTTGATGACCTCCTTAATGCAATTTCGGGTTCTCCAGGCTCAATGGTAACTTCAGGAATATGCTCCTCTAAGTTTGATGTGTCTTCATTTAATGGCATATTTGGAGCAACATTATCCTCAAAAACGGTACTAGGTGGAGCAGTGTCATCTACTAGAGGCACAACAGGATTAAGAGGTAAGAGGGTCATTGGCCCCTTCTCTTTGACTTCTTGTAAGTTGATGTCATGATGTACATTGCTCCCACTAACATTAGAGTTCTCTAAGAACTCGGCATGGCGAGTTTCAACTATGCGAGTGGAATAAGAAGGACAATAGAATCTAAATCCCTTTGATCGTTCGGGATACCCTATAAAGAAACAACTAATAGTTTTCATGTCAAGCTTTCTTTGTTGAGGGTTGTAGAGCTTAGCTTCAGCCGGACAGCCCCATATTTTCATATATCTCAAGCTCGGTTTCCTTCCCGTCCAAATTTCGTAAGGTGTCTTGGGAATAGCTTTAGAAGGAACCCTATTGAGAATATGGACAGCCGTCTTTAATGCCTTGGTCCATAAGAATTGGGGTAAGTTGGTATTTGCTAACATACTTCTTACCATATCCATAAGGGTCTTATTTCTTCTCTCAGCAACACCATTCTGCTGAGGAGTACCCGACATGATAAATTGGTTCACAATCCCATGTTCCTTGCAAAAGTCAAAGAAAGGACCGGGAGAATGACCAACATCAGCATGTCTACCATAATACTCGCCTCCTCTATCTAATCTCACTACCTTTATCTTACGGTCAGGTTGATTTTCAACCTCGGCCTTAAAGGTTAAACATGTCAAGTGATTCAGATTTTTCATTTATTAAATACAAATACATATAGCGTGAATGATCATCTATAAATGTGATAAACGATTTATGTCCAGATATTCCGGCGGGAAGAGGTCCACAGATGTCGGTGTGAATGATTTCCAACAAACTTGAACTTCTTGTGGCACCCTTCTTATTTCCCTTTGCCATTTTTTCCCTTAAGGCATTTAACACATGTCTCAAAATCATTGAAATCAAGAGTTGGTAATATTCCATCTTTCACGAGTCTTAACTTTATGCCACAACATAGACGATGTTTCCAAGTCTCTTTTCCTTTTATTTAAGTTTTCATTCACATTATATGACAACAAGGATTTTGAGAATTTATCATCTAAGTACAATTTATAAAGTTCTCCAACCAAAAAACCACAACCTATAAAATCGGAATTTAGGCTAATAGTGACTTTGCCATTACCAAATGATATATAATATCCATCAATATCTAATTTTTGTACAGATACTAGGTTCCGAGTTATCCTCGGTACATAAAGAGTATCATATAAGTTAATACAATGACCACTTTGCATAACTAATTGTAAAGTGCCCATGGCTTCAACATTTAGATTTTCATCGCTTCCAACTTTAATGGTCCTTTGGTTTCTTTCCAATCTCCGGATTGTATGGAATCCCTGTAAGGAGTTTGTAACATGTACCGTAGAACCAGAATCAACCCACCATGTGTTTGTAGGGACATTAATATTAAAAGACTCGTAAATCATAAAAAGATAATCACCTTTTTTTGCTAACCAATCCTTGAACTTCGGGCAGTCTAGTTGGCCATGACCTTTCTTGTGGCAGAATTTACAACGAAGTGAACCCTTAGTAGTTTTTGAGCTTGAGGCTGCGTTTGCATTTCTTTTCTGGACCTTTGAGCTTTCTCCAGTGTTAAAATTTCCCTTCCTCTTTCCGATGTTTGTGGTTGTAATATGAGCAACATCGGGCTTTTCTACCTTTAGGCGCTCCTCCTCTTGAACGCACATGGCAAATGGCAATGAGTTCGCTCATTTGCCATTTGTCCTTTTGAGTATTATAGTTTATTTTGAAATGACCAAATTGTGCTGGTAGAGAGGTCATTATGAAATGCACCAAAAAACCCTCACTAATTTCCATGTCCATGCCCTTAAGCTTATGGGCCATGTCACTCATCATCATGATGTGCTCACGTACATCACTCACACCATCATACTTTGTAGTTAACATCTTCAAGATCAAAGTACTTGTGTGTGCCTTGGAGGTGCCTTAAATTGCTCCTCAACGGAGTTCATATAAGTTTTCGCATTTTCTGAGTCAGGTATGGCTCCGCGAATGGCAACCGAGATGGAATTCTTTATGACCATAAGAGACATTCTGTTTGATCTCTCCCACCGTTCATACATTCGTTTATGCTCTTGAGAGCTTTGGTCAGTAGGAGAAGCAGGAGGATCATGTCTCAAAGTATAGTCTAAGTCCATCATTCCAAGTGTTAATTTTATAGCATCTCGCCATGACGCGAAGTTAGTGCCAGTCAAATGTTCAATCCCATAGTTAGGACTTAAAGTGGTCGCTGGATTGAAAAATTTAAAACATGTAAATATAGAAAAATGAGTGAATTGGAGCATAGAGAGTCATCACATAAAGCAAGCAAAATTAGCGTATTAAAATGAAGTCCATTATAACATCAAAATAACAGACTAAACTAAGGTTCTACTTGAATGTTGGCTTCACGTTGGCTATGACCAACATTCAAGCAGTTCGAACATGCATAAAATAAAATACGTCACTTAAATATTACATATCACCTTTGGGCAGAAATGTAACACATGTGTTTGTTATGCTTATTACTTACTTAAATTATCAATCAACTCGCCGTTGGGTTTGTTGAATAACAACTTGAATTTTCTTAACATGACATTGTTAAACTTCTATAGTGATTTAAACAACCATTCGTTGGGCCGGTTATCTAAATTAATATAAAAGTTGTCATTTATTAAATTAAGCATAATTAACAATTTGATCTTGGTTAGAATGTGTTTATTTGACAGCATCATAAGTCAAACAATAACCATCAATTGTATCCACCATTGAATTTGTGCATTGGCAATGACAGCAGAAAAAGAAAGGAAAATTAAGTGTTGAATTATAAAGTCTTTTAAACAAATGCACTTTGCCTTCTGGCCAGTTTACAATTATGCAAATGACAAACTCCAAAGGATATATCAATTATAAATATAAAAGATAGTTGATAGCATGTAATAAGTCATAGAGAAAATTTGTTGGACAGTGAAGTAAATGTCTTGTGAAATCTAACCTTTTGTTCCTCGTAAAATGCAACTTAAAGGAAATCCCACAAGTCAAAATCATGTCAAGTGGGTTCCTAATATATCTTTATTCCAGAATTGATTAGGAATCATATGGGAAGAAGACCAAACAATTTGTCATATATTTGACCTTTTTGGTTCAGGGGAAGAAGACGATGACCCAGAAAGAGAAAAGAGAAAAAAAAATATTTTTTTTATTTACATATCATCTAAAGATGTGTTCATGATGATTTTTGATCATATGGTGACGATGATATACAAACATATGTTACCATGCTCTTATAATTAAAACCCATCTTAATTTAATAAATTAGGGTTCATAAGATTTAGGCGTGACGAGTTAGGGTTCATAAGATTTTGGCAAAATAGTGTACCAAAACAAGCTCTGATACCACATGTAGAATGAATCCAACATATGCTAACATTTAATCTTATGAACACCCATCAATTTAATGATAAACACAGTAAATTTAAGTGAGAAAAACTTACTTAGAAAACCAGTTTTCATTGATAAGTTTGATGTAGAATATGAAGCCATTGATTCCTTTATGATGTCTGGATTGATGGAAGATCGAACGTAGAAATCATTGGTGTTGATTCTCTGATCCCTTAGGGTGAGAGGGAGAGAACGAGAGCACCTACATTTGTTTTCAGACATCTAAATGGAAATCACAGATTTAACCCATATATATAACCTATTTACTTCCATCAAGTAACGGTTATGAGATGGGTAGCAGTTATGTGATGTTGGCAAGTTACCACTATAAAATGTAAATATAGCAATAATTAAAAATAGTTACATAAATGGTCCTAACCCCATAAATATTGGAAGGATTCCAACAGCTTTGTCAAGCTTCAATTAATTACATAAAAATATGGCGTTTGCTTAATTTTCAATTTTGGGATTTCAAGATTTTAACCATACATGTGTGTCTTTATCGAGTGATATGAGCAATAAACGAATCTATCTCTTTGCGTGTCACTCCACCTTCGTCCACTGATTGCCTTACGTCATCACCAAGTTTTGCAGCTCTCTTCCTTATCTCATCTCCTTCATTTGAAGCCATCAACTTTTGTATGGTGTTCATGATCGTTGCAGACTTCACCACCTCACCGCGATGCTCCCAATCCCTTACACTTATGCCAATCTTCAGCACCTCTGTTATTAGGGTTGCGTTTCTTGGTTGGTCCGAATGCATCGGCCATGCAGCCATGGGAACTCCCATTGTGATGCTCTCCATGCTCGAATTCCAACCACARTGAGTCATGAARCCACCAGTTGCAGGGTGAGCCAGTATCTCTAATTGTGGTGCCCATTCTCGAACCACCAGTCCTTTCTCTTCAACTCTCTCTTCAAACCCTWTTGGCAGTTCAATTCTCCTGACTTCACCTTCAAATATATCTCCTCTRTCAGCATCTCGTAACACCCATATAAAGCTTTGCTTAGCGTTCTCTATGCCAATAGCAAGTTCTTGAATCTGTTCATCAGATAGTGAAAYCGTCGTCCCAAATGAAACGTATATCACCGAGTCTGTAGCTTGCTTATCAAGCCACTCTAGTGRTYCGTGACGTTTGCTAGGGTTACTGTTATCGCTTATGGCGACGGGATTGAAAGGACCCATTGCCCACTGCTTTGTACTTCCACTGATTCCTTCTTTCGAAAGAAAGTCAAGGAATTTGCCATCAACGACTTTGCAGGCATCATGAACATTGCCTGAATTAAACCTCTTGCAGTCATCATTACGCATAATGAACTCGAAAAGATCTTCTGGTATAATCTCATAAAGACTATCAGGGATATTTGAAAGTTGCGTATCGGATTCAACGTCTAAACATGGCTTTCCTTTCTCTTCCCAAACGTACGAGAATGTTGTGAAAGCCGAAGCACAGTGAAAGGAATACGCTTCGACTTTTTGATATGAAACAACGTCTTGAACAACCGTGCTCATCAGGTTGTCATGAACAACGATGACTCGCCTGGCTGTCGGAGAAATTCCGGCCAATAGTTTTGAAAAAGGTTCACGAAGAAGACTTGATGCTTGGAATGATGGGATAAGGTGTATGGGGAATACTGTGGAGGCATTAGGGTTGGGAGGAGGAGATTGGAATTGGGGTGTTTGATATTCATGGAAATGGATATTTGCAGTGGAGGTGGGATCCCAGCCATGGATACGAAGCTTTGCTTGGCGATTGTGGGTGGTGGTGCCGACGATATGGACGGGTAGAYTGTAAGAAGAAAGGAGACGAGAGAGGTGGAGAAGTTGGTTGAGATGACCTTGTGCTACAAAAGGTACTACGATCACCACAACTCCGACCTCATCATCCATGGCCGGCACTGGTTTGAAGCATATGCGATGGTGGCAGACACATACATATATAGAGACAGAAAGAGGGTTCAAACAAAAAATTTAAAAATAAAATAAACACACAAAAACGACTATATAGTATGTGGTTCTAGACTAAAAATGAATCGTTCAATGTAGGGACGTGCACGCACAATTGGAACGACGACCTAAGAGCGTTGATTGAATTTGAATCAAATATATTTTTTTAGTCTCAAATACTATGTGTTATAGACGTTATTCATGTTACCTTATTTTGATTATGTTGTTTTGATACAACCATATATATATATATATATAGAGAGAGAGAGAGAGAGAGAGAGGGGATCATTAAAGGATAACTGATTAGTTTATGGTAATTGTAAGATACAATATGAATCACTCGTTTGAGATATTCAAATATATTTTTTTTAAATAAGTTAAAAGAGTAATATAGTAATTCTATTTTTGACAACTAATCAAAATATTTCATTAATTTTTTTAGAAGAAAATGTTTAATTAAAACTAGTTACCTAGTATATCAATTACCTAATATACATATTATTTTAAAGACGTTTGTGAATCAAAATGTATCATAGTGATAATGTTCACAATGTTTCACGTGTATCACAAATGTATCATAGTGTGCATTTTCGTTATTTTCATTATTTTATAAAGGGTATCATATTGTGCATCTTGTATGTATATATGGGTATTACAATGAATATCATTTGTAGGTATCACAGTGTGTATTTTGTGTTCACATAAGGTTCTTCGGAATAAGGTTCGTCGAATAAGATTCGACAGAGAGAGGATATTTATAAAATCTCTAAAATGCCTTTAATTAATATTTTAGGCTAAAATTATCAAAATTATTAATTTCCTAATTTAACCTTTAATTTGTGTTTGAGATTGAATCTTACGATTACCACAAACAAAATAGTTCTCATTTGATTAAGCCTCTATACAAGTTAGTTTCTGTGAGTCTAAATTGATATGTGATTAATTTATATGAGACTAAATGGATATGTCATTAATTTAATCGAGACTAGAAGGTTTGAAGTGTTCTTTTTAAATGTTCGTTTTTTATGCGAATCGTCGACTTTTTCATTGGAAAGTTTAATAACTTGCTATTATTACATGGTATTCTAACTTTGATATCATTCCTAGGGTTTTTATTCTTTAGAGCGTCAATGTGGTTTACCAAAATTCGGGTTTTTAATCCATGGAGTTCGGAAATTACACCAATAACCTTGTGATTTTCGTTTCATGCGGATTTCGTTCTTGTTGTTTGCAGTTGTCAGGTTCAGCCGTTAAGTGCCCCTCACGTGCCATCTCACATGAGGGCATCTCGATCYGTTTTTGTTTTTCTTTTATCATACTTTTATTACAAGTATCTAAAGCTTAAATACTACACAATTCGCCTTTCAAAACCATATAAATATGAACATGAACGTGATGTTATTCTGCCTCGAAATGGACATCAAGACAACTGCAGAAGCAGTTCAAAACGTTAGTTAAGAAACAAATGCATATCTATAAAGTAGATGAAGAACATCAATAACAGATACATCAATAACCTAACTATATATATATATATATATAGACTTGGGATCATGTGAGACCAGCCTGTTTTCGTGAGACCCGT